CGTAACGATTCTGAGCCAGCAGAGAATTTGTAGCGATTTTCCGTCGTTAAATCCATCCAGGGCCGAATTTTTCCCTGGAAAAACTGCGGAACAAAAACGAAAACGGGGGAAAATGGAGGGACTCGGGGAGGGCTTTCGACGGTCGGATCAATACGAGAATTACTAGATTTCTGGACGGAGACGGTCTGTTGAGTACTGTAGTCGGTCGTGGGATGTAGGTCCTTTCCAAGGGTGGTCGTTCCCTTTCCAGGAAACTGGAGAAGTCTTGCGCCTCCGGAGCTCCACGCATGCGCCACAGATCTGGCAAGCCTTGAAGAGTGCTTGCTGCCAGGGCGAGCTTACGAAGGCCAATCAACAGGGGTAGCTCGGACGTCGTCGTCGCCGCCGCCGCCACCACCACCGTCGTTGTTGTCGTCGTCGTTCGGAGAACGAACGGACGAACAACTGACTCCAGTCTCTGTCCGTTCGTTCAGTATAGATCTGTCCGGACCGGTAATGCAGCGAAGCCGTTGCTTATTGCCGTCGAGAGCCAACGCACGTCCGGCGCCGCGTCAGCCTCGGAAAGGCTGCCGGCAATCACAAACTCTCAGCTGAACTACACGACGGCAACTTGAACTACAAGCATAGTGTAGTGCGTTGACATTACCACGATTGCTGCTATTGCTATTCTGCTAGCATCGCTTGCATTCCACTGACCATCCCGAACATAGCCGCCTAGAAACCGTCTGGATCATCTTCAAGATCATCTACTTCTTCACGCGCAGATTAAGGTGAGTTCGAAGTTCGATTGACGGAAATTCTTCGGCACCGTACCCCGACCCCGAGCATTCGAAACCCGAGTCTAGAGTCTCCGTTCTCCGGGGGAGGAGGAGGAGCGCGTGTTCCTTGAAATGTCAATCCCGAGCAAGTGGTGAGCAGTCGAAATCTCATTTTCCCCCCGAGCGATGGAGATTTCGACGCGGAGCTTGTGCGACTCCGATATGCGAGCCGTAACTCCGTGTTGGTCTCTCGGATGGAAAATCGTTCCCGACGGGATGACGACCTGTGCGGTACTGGAAAACGGCTCGTTCTTAGAATAGGAACGGAAGGAGTGTCATCGCTGCCTTACACATCGAGAAAAGTTCACTTTTCCCGATCACGGCGGCGAAGAGGTTCTAGCGCCTGAGATTAACATCACTCTTCTCAATCCTGTTTCGACCGCTGAAATGTTCTAACCTGTCAGCATATATATTGACCGGGGAAAAGAGCTTGAGAAGGAGACACCTCTATCAAAGCTGTCGACGGATCAAGGCTTTTGAAAATGATTGACCCCGCGTAGCGGTAACTGCCACGAAGGGTCCCGGGCCGGGCTCGATCCAGAGCAAGGAGGGAATTAAGTATCTCTGAGTGAGCAGGAGACTCAAACACTGACTCGATCGGAAACCGACCGAGTGTCCGCGACAGTGACGAAGTCGCTCTACTTTCGAAGTTGGCAAGTAAATACGGAGAAAGAGAGAGGGCCGGAGGGCAGACAAACCGATGCGGAGCGGGCGACCTAGAGGCACGAACGAAGATCTACGAAGGAACGAAAGTCTCTAAGATTGGTGCTACATAATTCGTTCGTGCCGATGTCTATTTATAAAGCCACTCACCCAGGAGACTTATCATTCCGGGAAGCCGTTCGCTCGCGTGAAGCTGCTTATCGGCTTCTGTCGGCTTCGAGACCAGGGTGCGGATCTTCCGCTGACGCAACCCGGCGTTTATCCCTCCCGACGTGCGGGGTTTCCTCGTAATCCTCACGTGTGTACCTTCGACGAATTCACCTCTACCTGGAGCGGGAATTTCGGGCGATATACATAGGTAGGGAGGCGGGCATCTTTGTTCGCTAAGGTGAGATGATGAGAGAAAATACGCCGAGCCGCCGCGCCATTGGGCTCTAACCGTTGGTTCGCGGGGCTATTTCACGGAGTACCTTAGACGGCTCGGTGCGCACCAGGCGCCACTTGCGATGCGCGTGGCCGCAAAGAGGACCGATCGTCGGTACAAAAAGCGAGTTCCCAGTCGGAAGGACTGTGCGAACCAGCGTGTACGCGTTCGCATACCTGGATCCAACAGGAATACGCGCATCAACTGATACGAGAACCTGTCGAGTCTAGCTCAATGGAGCTCACTCCGCTCAAAAACCATGACCGGAAGCATCCGTCGAAGGTGCGGGCCTCGAATGAGAGGCTGCCGATCGGACGCGCATGTGTGAGCATTGAAACCGTATGCGTTATCTTGAATCGAAAAAATCGACCTGGAACTCGTGAATCCTGATGAGATTCTCCCGGACAATGCTTCTCCGTTCGGATAAGGAGCCTGTTATCGCTGTAAACAATGCTTTCCGTGCTGGGAAAAGTGCTGCCCGAATATCGGGCCCGTAGGCTAGGCAGGAGGTGAACATGGTCCAATTGGAGCGTCGTCAATTCTTCCCCGGCCGCCGGTGACCTTGCTTCTGATTTGACGGGTTTTCGCTGCTGTTCCCCTGCGTTTCTCCACGGAAGTTATGGTTTTCGCTCACCGCTCCGGCTGGCTGGCAAGTTCCCTCTCTGACGAGTTGTGGCACCTCAGAGGCTGTTTTCGGCTCGCTGGCTCCCGGACTACCGCTCCTGTACGTCGCTGCGAAAAGGTTTATTTGTGGACCACCTTTTCGGGGACAATTGGAGGGGATCACGTGTGGAAACCGCGCGAGCACTAAACTGAGGAAACGTTTCGTTTGTGCTAGGCAGCCAGTACATATGGCAGCCGTCGTTCTTTTTTGTGAGTGCTCATAACGGCAGCCACAATTGCCATGACTGCTGCTGACGACGCAAGTCGATTCTGAGTTTCGTTGTCACAGCCTTCAAAGTTCCGGCTGCGCGACGGCTCCTGCACATGAGACAGAAATCGTCTCGCTGCCGCCGACAGGATACACATATGAGCACGAATGACGGCTCCGGTGTCATGACGATCGCGATATCGGGCGATAGCCAACGAGTGACCCAAGTCAGTCAGATCCTTTGAAATTGGGGGAAGGATCTACGACCGAGACACTCCTGGATGCGGCAGAGGGACAGGCCGCGAGCTCCGAGTTCTGAAAGAACGCGGCCTTTGAAATCTCGGCCAAGAATGTCGAAACGTATGGCGGAAGCTCTATTCCTGTCTCTAGAGGAGATGCCACCGGAAGCATGCCACCAAAAATTCGTGGAATGAGGAATCGAGCTCTCATGATTGTCATACGAGCTCAAGTTGCTCCTGAGAACGCCGGGAACTTTTTCTTCCGCAGGGCGCGGCGAGATAACATGTGTAGACTGAAGTATTTAAGGAGCTGGACCTCGGTGTTTAACATGAGCACCTTCGGGAAAACCGCACACTCAGCAAGACTCAACAGAGCGGAGCCGAGCTCGGAGAAAAGAGCAGCGCCTCAGCTCGCGTCAACAGACCTGAATCAACATCCTATACGAGAAACTAGTCAACGTTCCGAAGCTCACTCACGCCGTTACCTCGCTCGATGTTCTCACCTGGGAGAGAAACAATCGCATGCGTTCGTTTTGATACGCCTAAATCAGCAGTTTCCTTCTGTGTTCTTCCCGAGCGTGAATGAGGCTCTCCCTGTCTCAATCCAAGAACTCGCCCCGTTGAGAGCTCACCCGACTGGGGAGCCGGAGTGAGCCGAAACTTCGAAATCTCGGCGGAGACGATCAGTAATTATTGATTCATTTGAATTTATTCAATGAAGATTGGAACAACCACCGCCTATACACGACGACCGGAGGAAAACTACCGCAGGTCTCCATTACGACATCTCAAGTCTCGCGGTTCCGGGCACGCTGGCCCCTAGCTTACCTCCGAGCCAAGAAAGTGAGCGCGGAGCGCGAATTCTATTTCCGGGGCTCGGGCGGGGGCCTACGACTGGAAGAGTATTCGAGCCCGAGTGACGCCAAGCATTTAATGGCGTCACGGACGAGCCGCCGAAGCGTGCCGGCGTCGAATCGTTGCTCAGCCTGGCTTGGAAGGCTGCTCTCTGGCCAACTGTCAGTAGGCTAAAATTAACGTCGGATGTCTGGCGGCTGATCCTCGGCAGCTCCCGCGACACACGGTTCGCGGGCGCGCTAACCATAACAGCAAACATTCTGCGGTGCAGAAGGATCCCGGTCGCGGCGGCGTCTCAGTTCGGGTGCTACTCGGGTTAGCGCGACTTCTTCTCCTTTCAGTCTGAGCTTCCGGCCGAAAAATACCCATAGAATATTGAATGGCCGCATTTCTGATTCGCTCGCCCGGGGCTTTTTCTCTTGACCGAGCGAGCGCGAACCGCCTCAGTCTCAGTCCGATTGGACAGGACCATGTCCTGGAGCAGTTTTCCTGTGAATTGTGGGGCCTGGTTCTTCATCAGCAGGATCCTCCGCATCTCCACTCTCTATTCGCTGTGGGTGCCGAACCGTAAGCGAACGCTCAGTGCACACCGCGAGCCCTCACTTCTGCGAGGTCGAGATGTGCTTTTTCCTGGAAGAGTCTCGAAAGTACTCGGTGATTCTATTCCCGTCTTCCCGAGACTCAGGGATCTCGCTCCGTGGAAAAAATACTCGAGCGTGTCTCGTCGGCTCTTACCTCGCTCGTCCTGTCCCCTCGTGGCACTGCGCAGCCCCGAAAATTATGCCGCTCACTCTTCCCGTCTCGCAGGACGTACATAATTGAGAGACTCGTTTCGCGAGGAAATGTTGTCATGTGCAACTAAATAATCATTTATCTTACAGGCAGGCCATTGCTTCGCGCAATCGCGATGCTCCCACCAGAAGAATCAGCCCAACGTCGTTTTATTCGCCTCTCGATCCAAACCCTGCGTACGAGCTGAGGCTGGCTCGAACTGAAGACCATTCGTGCAGCGGCGGCGGTCTTTGGTGGAAGTCCCACTGGTGTTATTCCGATCGGAAGCTCTCGATACATGGTGAAAATCCATCGATCTATCATCAACTGCCTGTGCCTCGGTGATCGTTGAGATCACGATGCCGATAGTAGGTACACGGTGGAGCTGTTGCTTCAACTCGTGTATTCTCCTCGGATTCCTGCTTCTGTCCGCCGCAGTACAGCTAATTGAAGCCCATAAACCGAAGGACAGCAAACTCTACAAATTGAGGCCAGGGTAAGTGAGCATGCTAATATCTAGAGCAGCCATGCCCGCGTAGGAATATTCCCATCGTATTTCGGCTGGCTCATCCTCGACCGTCGGTAATTCCCCGCGGGGGGTCGATTTTCCCGGAGCTTCTGGCCCATCTCATGAAGATACCGTCCGAAGCCTGGATACGAAAAAAGGGACGGGGGGAGAGGAAAATCTCTTCCAGGCTGGCCGACTTGTCCACCACCGCTTACTGTGGAATCCCGTGATCTCTACAATGGGAGATATCGATTGTCAACTCCGACGATAATTCGTTCAGCGTCGCTGCGGAAAATGGAATTTCTCCTTTTCCTCGATTTTTCCATTCATTCGGGGGAGAGGACTGCCGAGCGTTTAGCGGAGCGCGGAGGCTTCTAGAGCGTGAGGCAATTAGCAGATGAATGATCCAATGTCTTTCGTTGGGAGTTCCGGATCTCATCGTCAACGTCAGATCTCGCTCGTATGTGTGTTCCGGTCGTGCCCATGTGTGAATGTGAGTTCGGGAGACAGCGCGCGGCCGAGCTCGTCTGACTGACTGAGTGAGTTCTGGGGAAGCGGGTGAGCGCTTTCGGAATGGGACAAGCGAAAAAGGATGGTGGGGAGAGCGTAGGGGGTAAGTGATCGCGCGTTTCCTGTCCTTTGGTTCGGAACACAGCAGCTATTTCCTTTTTGCGGCTGAGAGTTGAACGTTAAAAAATGTCCCCGTCGCCGTTCTTCTCGCCTGACTTCCCGTCCATGACAGCGGAGGCAACGGTGGCCCAGGCAAACGCGAAGACACAAGCCACAGTATCACCTACTTCTATCGCTACTTTAGCTCTTCGGTCCGTTAGTCCGTCTGCTTTAGGTCGGAAGCTCGCAGGTTCGATTCTCAGAAGAGCTTGTCGACGTTCGAGTCATCCAGGCTCTTGATTTATCTTCCCGCCGCGGCTCCAGCTCTGCGAAACCCACAAGGTCTACTCTGATCTCTTCCTTCCACCCGATGGGTCACTTCTGCAGGGACGTAATGCGGTGAAAAGCAATGAACTATTTCCGTCCTGAGAGCGACCGACTGAAACAGATGATGTCGCCCTCGACGTGAACTGAGCCGAGAGTGGCGCTGGAATGGAGAAGCCGGAAAAAATCATTTCGCCCCCAGGGAGTTTGGCCACGGGAGGTAGCAAGACGAGCTCGCTCGCACGTCATGATGCTTTCCGGCGTACAGAATCCTCAGGTCGATGTGGATGTTAACGACGCACTATCGCCTGATGGCATATTCGATGCATCTCGAAAAAACTTTTTGTCGCGTATGTATTTATTTCCGTTTTTTCCGTCACTGGCTCGTTCCACGAAGCTGCGGCGACGGCTCGGTGCAAGAGACAGAAAACTTCCACCATTTGGGTACACATATGCACGCACGAGCGGGCATTCGGTGGCAAGACTGAAGGTCTTGCGTTTGCTGCGTTGTTGTCACCTCGACGGAGTAGAAAGTAGAAACGGTTCCTTTTCTCGCACGAAATGATCCCTCGCTCGCAAACGACCGGAGGATGAATTGAGAAACCGAGCGAGCAAGTGCGCAGAGGGTACGGCGAGTGACCTACTTCCGGATGTTTTGAGAGAGCGAGTTCGGTCTCACTAAGTCTCTAGTCGGTATTTCCGTCTTTCCCTCATCCTTTTCTCATTCACCCTCAGCCCATCATTCCTCGCTGTCTAGGGGTGAAGTCATTCTCCGACTAGAGATCTCCAGTAGCGAGCCGTGGAACCTTGAGTCTCGCATCCGACGACCGCAGCTTTTTTCTGTGCGTCGGCCACTTCGGCTGCCGTCGAGCGCCGGAGGGCTCAAACCCTAGTCTTAGGCTCGGAATGGTACTCGACGGGTGAGCGTGGGCGCTATCTGAAGCCCGTTCGTTAAAACTTTCCTCGAGAGAAGAAATCCGATGTGATTTGTGCTTGCTGGACGTGGGAGGAGAGAAAGGATTGACAAAACACTCCCCAATTAGGGACTGGTTATCGCCTGTTTGGGACACGACATACCGTTGAACATCGTTGAAAGGCTGGAAATTCGCGAAATTATCACAATAGACTCCCGATAATAGGCAGAACCTTGTCCTTGGAACCGCAATTATTAGGAATTATGATTATGAAGATGAGCCAAAACAACACGAGAAGTTGGGAGATAGAAGCTCACTCAAGTCGAGATCGCCTTCTTCTCGCATTGAATTTATTCCGCGACGCCGTCGACGGTGCATTTATCTAAGCAGCTTCTCATATCATTCCGAGCCTTACGATAAATTTCCAGATCTATCCGCGGATTCGCGAGTTATCGAGAAAGCAAGTCATCGGGAATCCCCCTATGTATTAAAAGCGCTGGGTCCGTCTGTCCATTAGCGACTCTTCGACGCTTCTCCTCCCCTAAGTCCGCTTCCGAACAGGCTCATCGGATGCTACATTACGCCACAGTGTACAAATCGATCTTCTTTCGATTTTTCGTATCTCCGTTACGGAGTAGTTAGCGGGAGGGAGGAAAGTTCTTCCCGAACACTTACCTAGATAGATAGATGGGAAAAAGAAACTTGTGGCCGCGGATCACGTCATCCGAGTTGATCGACTCTACCTCTCAGTAGTAAACCCATCCTAATGGACAATGAAACAAAGAATGTGTTCTCCTCGAAGGAGCTCTGCTTTATATTCCTGTCCGTGAAATTTCTATTCGGATCGTAGATCTGGTGATTACCGATAACGAATAGTTTGATATACATGCCACTCGATCCCTAGCGATCTCACGGGTGAACAAATCGAATATACATCCCTCTGCACTCGATCCCCACGAATCTCACAAGTGAAGAACGAACGAAACATGCCCAAGAGCGCCTTGCGCGAGGCGCTCGAACGGCTGGTTCACTTTATAAAACCCCTCATTTATCCGAGATCCGAGGAAACTCACGATGAACGGGACGTCTCTGACGTATTCTGAAGTCGGTTGGTTGAGAAAATTCTCGAACTGGAGTTGGGAAATCGCTCGACGGCCGACAAACCAAATGTCTGAATGAATGAGTGAGAGAGCAGCGAAACTGGAAGGAACAAAGCCCTGACGAATGGGTGAGCTTTCTCAAGAGATGGCCGACTGGCTCAAGATCCTTTGCGAGTTGCTATGGGATGGCTTTCCGCCTGGATAAGCGACTTAAGTTGAGCTCATCGTTTGCTTCTGCTCCTAGTCGAGAGAAATCTCAACTGACTGTTTCGTTCTGCGCTCGGCTGGCTCTTAGGCGAAGACCACCTACCCGCTGCCCAGGCCCTCTCGATTTCTGTCGCGACTAGTAACTCTAGCAGAACTTGCTCCGAGCCTCGATTCGCGTATGAGCCGATCGATATCCTTCCGCCTGGAAATCGGATACTAACAATCGAGAAACACCTGCCGTGCGACCGGGTCCTGATCATGGTTGCGTCGGAGTTTCGCTTATTCGATGCGTTGCCGCTTCAGGCGAGACTCAAGCAACGTCGTTCGAAGCGTTGTTTTGTAAGAGACCTGTCTCAGTCTTAAAGCGGAAATCCTCAGGAGCTGGAGTCGAGTTCATCATCCACAGAAAGAGCTCGGTTCCCGGTCCCTGCGGATCTCTGAAAGAGTGTCACTTCCTCGTTGAGATTTCTACGCTCGCTGCTCCTACGTCCGCGTTGATTCACTCGGAATGGCCCTACCGCAGCGGCTACACCTTTTGTTCATCGCCTCAGATCTCGTGTGCCCGCGGACACCATTCATATCTGTCTTGCACCGAGTTGTAAAGTCCGGGTTGAGGCACAGCGTCCGAATATGGGTCCGAATCGTTTTGGTCCGAGAGCTTCGGACGCATCTCTCAATTCTGGAGGAGACGATATTTTCCAGCGCTCGGATCCGACCGTATCTCCGGACAATATCTGCTCGCTCCTCTTTGAAGAGTCACCCGCCGGCCTGCTGTCCCTCCTATGAAACTTTTATAGTCAATGCGTAGGATGTGGTATCGTTATCAGCCCCGTCGTTAATTGGGAAGAACACAGGCTCACAGGCATTGATATAATGTTTTTTCCTGTCGCTCCGATCCTTTCGCCGCCAAGAGAATCATCGCTATCTCGAGCAGCACACTCGGGAGGATGATTGAAGCTCCACATCAAGGTGTGAGGATTCTCGCTTTTCCAAGAAGACTCGGGAGAGTATCCGCATGCTCGCTTCATTCCCTCTCTGGTCGTCTAGCTGCTGCTAATGAGAAACGTGAGCGAATCGATGATTGAGCTTGAGCTGTCTCGTCCCCAAAGTCCTCATCATCGGCCGGCGGAACACTGTTCCTTGGGCTTCTGAATGACGCGGAGAGCTGTTCTATAACCGAGAAGTCTCGAGATTTGACAGATCCCGGATTTTCTTGTCCTGACGAGTCCTTGTCAAGAGCCACAATGTCCCCTCCTGTGGATCGTTGTGTGCTCGGGAGGGCTCCGATGCGATTCGGGGCAGCTCGTCCCAGCAAGCCGCTCCGACTTGTCGATCGGAGTCAGACGACCGCTATCTCTCGTGTTGTTCTCCTCACCCCGCTTGTTCGCGTCCTTCATTTTCGGCATTTTCTGGTCGGATTCCTCTGGGAGGAAGAAGCATTTCTGTCCTCAACATCTTGCATGCCAATCAGCGATTGTTTCCCAATAGGCCGTGCTGGACAGCCAATCAGCCCTCTCCAGATTCCCCGTCTCCTCGATTATCCTTCCCTCGTCCGCCTCCATCCGGTCCCCGTATATTCCTCTCGACGGCGATTGTTGCCGAGCGAGTACACTTCGTTGAACGATCGCTCACCCGGTTGTGGCCGAGACGGCCTCCGCGGCTCACTGTGTCGGTCTCGCTTGCTTAGTTGGATGGGATGACCCTCCAAGGGATTCTGCGCCGGGAAAAATCTCGGAGGAGGAGGTCAAGAATCCTTCAGTGTCATCCAATAGCTCGAGCCTGCCGTTCTCACTCCGTTCTGGGTCCTCCAGCTCGAATGGAGCCAGACTCGGAT